CCTCGTTGCTCCTTCTCAGTTTCTCTCGTGGTTCTTCCCTCTCCCACCTCCTGGAGAGTGGACACTTTCCGGGTCCCGCTGTCATCTCTTCTCTCTCTGCAGGCTCTACCTTGGTAATGTTGCTCCTTCCCAGGGCTTCAGCTCCCGTGTTCACAATTTACCACCCTAACCCGTGTCCCCAGCCCACCCCCCTCCTGAGTTACAGACCTCGAGGACCACCTGAGTGCGGAATGTCTTCGCCCAAACGACCTGCAAGCACCTCAAACCCAGTGTGTCCAAATTCATCTTCACCTCCCTCCTGTCCACCCTCTACGTCCAATTCATTGCAAATTCCATCAGGGCTGCCTCTGCAATCTAACTCCTACTTCCATCGTGAATTCCCTATTTCAAAACATTGCTGGCCTTTGCCTGGACAGTTGAAGCCACCGCTGAAGAGGTTAGTCAAGCCCCCACGCAATCTGTCCTATTGACGGTACTAGGATTATTGTCCTAAATTGTATATTGCAGGCATGAGCATGCCTGCCCCTTCTCTAAAAACCTCCATAAATGGCTCTCTTAAAATCCCATTTTATGTCCTCCTGCACCATTCTCAGTGGACCAGAAATTCTCCTCAGCACATTTGAATTCTCTAGCCCTACACTCAGCCGATTTGGTCATCCTCCAAGTCATACTTCCTCCACGGAACTTTCCCAGAAGCCCTTGGTCAATTTAACTTTCCCCTTCCCCACACTCAAGGGGGGTGGCTGGGGCTCTACAGTCACTTTCCCCTCAGGCCGCTGGTGCTGCGGGCACACGTGGGAGTGTGCAGCACCCCATCAGACTGCGGGGTCAGTGTGAGCTGCATAGAACACCTGACCCAAGGTCAACAAAGGCACAGCCGTCACTTCTCCCACAGTCTATGAAATACAGACTTTGCTGGGACATTTCAAGTAGCTTCCAGGGAGGTTTTATCTTTTAATTTATGGAGTTTCCCCTACTGAACGTCAAACAGAATGATAATTCAGTTCAAACTCAGAGTCTGCCGGAAGCCTGGCACCAAAATCATGGATTCTACACACTTGGATTTGCCCAAGCCAGGGGCACCCAAGAGATGGATGCATCAGCAGGTGAGCCAAGGTAGAGGGATCACAAGTGTGGCAAATAGAAAAAAAAAAAACTACAAAAAGTACGAAGAATGTAACTTTGGACAACATGGAAAGCTGAGAAGCAGCAGTAGCTGACTAGAGATACTGCATGTGGTTGATTTGACAAAATAGCTGATTTGATGTAGGGCAGGATTCACGTTGCAGGCGGTTTAAAAAGAAAAGGGCCTCATCGCCCATGGTACCTTCCCTCACACACCGACACCATCACCACCACCGGTGGCAACACACAGGGAGAAGGCAGAGGGACGGCTAAAGTGGAGAAAGGGAAGACTGAATCCAATATGATTTTGCATCCACTAGGAACCGAGACAGCACGATTAAAACTGCCACGTGGAGAACATGGCCTAGAACAGGGTCTGGTCCAGAGCAGGTGTTCAGTTAATATTTGGGAAATGAATAAACATGGACTGACTTGCTCATTTATTCATACATTCAATCATTTACTGAGCATCTAGTAGATACCCTCATATCATGCTCATCAAAAATGTACGTTCTAGACTCTGAGAAGCATCAGATAGTCTGCAATGACAAGATGTCGTGTGGAAAAAGCATTGCTCCCTGTGTGCACTCAGTGAGACAGCCGGCGACCTTCTTACACGCACAGATGATAATTTCATCGCTTCTGCATGGTCTGCTGCAGTTTCCACTTTACAAAGCACCTCCATGTATATTCTCTCATTTGACCCTCATAACACAAATGATACATGTCAGCACCATTCACGGGATCCATCAGTGGCTGCTCATTACAGAAGGATGGAGCAGAAGCTACTTAGCAAGGCACTCGTTCGTTCATACAGGAATATACGTGCCAGACACAGGAGTGTACCAAAAAGGTCCCTGCCGCCTTGGTGCTTACATTCCAGTGGCTTCCATGTCCCTGATGGTCCAGCCTCTGGCCACCTGCCCATCCTCTTCCCCGACCCCTCCCTTCACCCCAGCCACGGAGAACCTCAGGCCGTTTGCAGTTTGCTGGACGTGCCCTGCTAAGGAAGTGCCCCACCAACACTGTCACCCACTGTCTCTTCTGTTGGGAACACCCTCGCTCCCATCTCCAACTGGCTAATTCCTGCCCGGCCGTCCAGCCCAGGCAGGCCCCGGCATCGCTCCTCAGGAAAGCTTTCTCCATCACCCCCACATGCTCAAGTCTCCTGCACACATGCCTCCATCCTGGCCCTGTGGAAGAATTGTCTGTGGAGAGGTTAATTCGTGGTTATGGTTCTTCCTTGAATAAGTATCATTTGCTTACTTTTGGTGGACATCAGTGACTTGGGGCCACTTTGTGTTTGTCGGGGGAGATACCCTGATCTTCCCCAGAGACCCTCAACCTCTCCTGAGAGTCCCACAGAACAGTCCAACGTCACACAGAATCTACTCTAGAGGGTAGAGACTTCACCGCAGGACTAAACTAACCCATATGGTCCTATCTCCCTGAATGCAGTAATTGATTTGGAGAAGAGAATCTGATCCAAGCTGGTCCAGCTGACGTGAAGTCCAGAAATGTTATTGGGCCACTGTGGGCTGAGGCATTCAGAGCCCACGTGAAGGATGTATGTGGTCCTTGGAGCTGCTGGCAGCCAGTGGCGACCCCACAGCGGGGACTGTCTGAGCACAGGGCCTAGAGAGAGGGGGCAGAGCTGCAAGTTGGGTCCTGAGCCCGCAGTTTAAGGCTTGGGCTACTTACTTGCAAGGAAGTTTGTGCTGGGTTTTCTACTCCGAAAAATTCACTCCATTCTGAGAATGGAGTAGCTACATGATATCTATGAGTTGTCTTTTATGGCTGCGGTCCCCAATCCCTGGTCCCCGGCCCGTTAGAAGCCGGCCACAGAACTTCACCATCCCCCAACCCCAACCCGTGGAAAAATTATCTTCCATGAAACTTAGGAAGGGGGTGCGGCACAGCGAGAGGTGAGCTGCTGGAGCCAGCGAAGCTTCCTCTGTATTTACAACCACTTCCATCCCTCCCGTCACACCTGAGCTCCACCTCCAACCCCACCCCAGCCACCCCCATCCAGGAAAAACTGTCCCATGAAACCCGTGCCAAAAAGGTTGGGCTCCGCTGTTTTATGGCATATTATAGCCAAGCCTTTGTACGCTTTCCTCAGGCACTTTTATGATATGAAGCCAGAAGCAGTATTTTCCAGAAGACAATCCCCCACTTTGTTTGCAAAAGCTCAGACATTGACAGGGAGGAGACTAAGGGAAGGGGAGCCAAGTGCGTTTTGGAGCGAGCAAGCAGAGGTCCATGAGGTTTGGAGCTCCCCAAGAGATCAGGAAGCAGGTGGCGTCTCCAAGGGGGACACTGAGAATGAGGTACTAACACTCTGCTCCCACCTGGGAGGTGGCCAGACTCCTAAAACAAACTGGACAGGAAGAGGCCTATTTTCATACCACTCACAGGTTTTCCCTTTATCCAAAAAATTCTTCTACAATCCCCAAATTTGAATCAACTTTCCAAAATAAGTTGTATGAGCTGTGGTTCCAAACTAAAAATGTCAAAATGATTAAGGAGTAGGAATGATTAAACCTGTGCCCCCTGCTGCACACATACATTATAATTTTTGTTTGACATTGAGGTTGATTTTAAGTTCTGGAGATTCACTAAGACTGGAAGAGAAACTTTAGATGCCTTGGAAATTGGGAAGTTATATAATAGGCAACATACCTATCCACCTATGTGAACAAAAAGGTAAATAATTTAGAAATCATTTAATATAGAATCAATATAATTCATATTTTAACTAAGAAGCCAAAGTGATGACAACAAAATTAACTAAACGGAAAGACAACCCACCTCGCAGCCTGTTATGATTACACTTTATTCAACAGGCTGTAAAGGGGTTTCTGATCATTTCTCAAGGACAGAAGCCACAGAATATTTTGCTGGGAATATCATGTGCCTTGAACACATAACCAAACCCCTCTACACCTCAGTCTTCTTATCTGCAAAATGGGGAAAATAGTGGATTCCTAGGTTTTTACAAGTATTAAATGAAATTATCAATTTAAAATTCTTATTATAGGGCATAATATGAACAATAATAGCTAAAATTGAGTTGTGGGTGTTCTCTTAACCATGCACTTTGTAAGTGTTAGGGCATTTAGAGTGGATGATAACTATACTATAGGAAGATGCTAATACCGTATGACCTTCATTGTGCTGGTGAAGGAACTGAGGCCTGTGGTCCTACAGCTACTAAGTGGCAAAGCTCAATTGCCACATCATACACGCAAGAGACCACACGTGGTAGCTGTCATGGTCAAATACACTCACACTATGTTAGGTTTCAGTAGCATGGTTACCAAAGAAGGCTTTCATTTCAAGATTGACTTTTGAAAGAGTTCTAACCAACATGATTTGTGATAAAATTTGACAGAGATACAAGATACTTAAAAATTAAGTCAACGGGACTGCAAACGTAACATCCCCAAACATAACTGTGACCTGAACTTCCTTAGGCCAGATGGAAAGAGCTCCTGAGCCCAAAGAGTGAGCAAAGGACTGGCATCTAGTTGATCGGCATGGAAAAAGGCAAGCTGAGAAAGGACACATTGTCTGATTCTACTACACAGTACTTGTGTCAGCTATAATTTCACTGAGTCTGAACTTTCTTATCTGTCAGATGAGATTTTATTAGATCAATGACTCTTAACCTTACCACATACTGGAATCATCCAAGGAGCTTCGAAAACGATACCTAGATTCAGCTCTGACTGGCCGGGGGTGGGGATTTCTGAAAGCTTGGAGGGATTCTAATGCACAACCAAGTTTGAGAACCCCTGGCTTAGGCCTATTCAGATGTTAAATTACACAGCTCCCTACTCATCTAGGAGATCATAGAGACAAAACAGACATACCTGAAGCAGAATCTTGTTGCCATCGTAGTCCTGAGTCTGCCACCGGGTGCTGCTGATGGGCACGCAGGGATTGGGGAGGAGAGGCACTAACTGGCCGATCTCCTGAACCTTGAACTGCAGCACCGAAGACTCTTTCGGGTCCACCGACGTTCCCAGGGGCAGCTGCTTCAGGGCGAGCTGCAAGACAAAGCTCTCGGTGGCATAGAGCACAAAGAAACAAAAATTACTCTTTTGCAAGGTGGCTTCTCTCTGCAGAATCATCTCGTAGAGCCTGATGGCGTCCTCATAGTTATCAAAACTGCAGTAGAGCGTCACCCTGAGGATCTCGGCGCCCCGGTGCACCTGCCTCACGCCCCAGACGGGCATCTGGCTATCCAGGCTGTAGAAGTCCTGATCGGCAAGAAGGTAGGGACACAGTCTCCCCTGTGCATCCCGGGTGGGGTAGCACTGCCATGGCGAGCGCTGGAGGGAGTCCAGAGCGCGAAATAGCCGCTCCTCTCCCAGGCTTTCGTGCAGGAAGAGCAGGACAGACATCCCCGGGAAGCGGGATCGCCTGGGGTGGCCCTTTTCATAGGATTTCACTGGAGTCACCCGCTCAGACACCAGAAAGAGACGGACCTCTGGGCAAATGCAAGCGAGGAGCTGGTCCAGAGTCCGCTGCAGAAGCGAGCCGTGCCCCGAGTTGGCAAGGAGATGGACGGTCATGGCCAGAGGCCCCTGTGTCTCATCCATGGTGGAACCGCCTGAGGACGACAAGGAAAGCGAGCGTGGAGGGCCCACCGTTCAGGCTTCTGAAATGAATGAAGAAGGGCCGAGCCTTCAGCTACTGAGAGCGGGGCTCTTCACCGGACTAACAGGAGCTCCTGGCCGCCCGTGCGCTTGCAGGGAGAGCAGCTCGGCAGCCTCTGCCACACACAACAGCGCTGGGGTCGAGTCATGCAGCTTGTGCATAAAGTTAACTGTTGTGTTTGGCTTTTTCAGGCGTTTCCCAGGGTTTCTGTTTGACCTAAAAACCTATAATCCTGAGAAACACCCGAGTGGGTGGTTCTAACAGACACTCAGTATAAAGGAAATGACCGGGGGAAAAGGAACATGAGTGGCTCTGGTAGGCTGATAGCAATCTGTTTGCTTGAAAAGACATCCATTTTACTGACCCACAATGGGTTCTGATTTCCTACTTAGTTTCTTAGTGTTTACAGTAGCCTGCCAGGCCACCCGAATACAATGACTTCTTTAAAACAATTCTCAAAACTTGTCCCCTTGCCAGGTTTCTCTTATCCTTTGTCTTTTTATTTCATTTTGTTTTTGAAGATTTGGTGTTAGGGCATGAAGAGAAGCTATTTTATCTAAATAATTTTGACTTCACTGAAAATTATGTGCTCTACTGAAAAGTCTGCGTGTGCTGAAAAGACATTGAGAAACTAAATCTTCCTTTATTTGTGCAAATTCTCTAGAAAAAGTGAGAGCTTTCCAATAATAATTGTTCATATAATTATAATTAGCAACTCTAACGATAATTATAATTAACAATTATAATAATTTTTCATATTTATTGAGGATCTACTATGTACCAGTCATAAACTATTCCAAAATTTAATATAAATTAATTTAATCTTGCGACAAACCTATGAAGAAGAGACTACTATCCCCAAATTGCTGGTTAAAAAACTAGGGCATAGAAAAGCTAAATAACTTGCTCCAGATCTCACAGCTAAGAAGTGGCTGCAGGAAGATTTGAACCTAGGAACTTGCTGCACTGCCTTTCTGGGGTCCAGAAGTCCCAGCCCGGATTTTCTTCCTACGAGTAAGGAAGAGATGGCAAAGCAAGTTCTAGCTGAGGACACGTTTTAGCCAGAGACTCTTGGGCTGTTGAGTCTTAAATGGAATAATCTTCAATGAGAATGTTGTCAAGCTGTAAACATAACGCTCATCCTAATGAGTCCTAAACACCAATTTAAAAGTCATTTGCTATTCTGATAGCTATGCTGCTAAATAGGTGTAGACAAGTACATTTTTCTAAACATAATTCTTCTTAAAAGAAGCAATTTACTAATGCTTATAATGGGACACAGATGACTTAATTTTTTGTAAACTAAAAAACTCTTTTGTGATGAAAAATATAACTTACTCTAACTTTTATTTTATATATGTGGATTCCTTTAATAGCATAGTAACCATAAATATGTTTATTCATCCCAAATATTGAGAGCCCGGCACTGTGCCAGGAACAGAGGATGGATAACCACCATGTCCCCACCCTGAATGATGTGGTCAGTGCCAGGAGGAAGGTCACTGCAGAATGCCATGGGGACCCCCAGGAGGAAAGTCAAATATTATTATCCAAGGAAAGGAATTATTTCTGGTCAGATTTACTTCCTAAATCTAACCTACATTTCTAATCATTTGAGTTTCATAATTCCTACACTTTCTACATTGGAAAAACATATAAATACAATTTATAACAGATGAATTATTTTTTAATTACCATGAGCAGCTCAGCAATTAAATTCATTTTGCTTTAACTTTCCAAAAAATAATTAGCTTTTTTAAAAAAGCATCACAGCTCTGAAGCTTTTTTTTTTTTTTTTTTTAATGTTTACCTTAATTCAATGTCAGGCGTTGGCATTGGAAGGCAATAACCTCATCCCTCCGAATGAACACACACTCCTTTCCCATCCTTCACCTTACAGCTGACTATACTTTTGCTTTGGGCAAAACTCCAGTTTTTGAAACAGACTGTGAAATTCTGGAAATAACTGTAAAGATTCAAGGAGAAAAATTATACCCCCGAGACAAAGGTATTAACTCACAACATTTTATACAAGGGAAATGTTTAAGCTCTTTTATAGGAAAAGGTTTTGCTTCTTGATGTTGTTTTAATCTTCTAATACTGAAAACATATTCTTTTCCTCTCCAGGTTGTCATTTCTGACAGGATTGAAAAGATTTCTTTAATCTGTTGGCAGCCAAAATGCCAAGAAATCGAGGCAGAGGCCAAGAGGCGGGGAACCCCCATCTGCTTTCTGACTGACGTTTCACAGTGACATCCCCAGGCAACGAAGTGAGATACCCACACTCCCGACAACTGCCCGCACTCCGTGCTCCCTTCCACCCACCACAAATGCCGGATTCTCAGCGGTGCTCCATGACACTCTGTATTTTTGCATGATGTTTCTGTTGAAGGCACAGCCAAAAATACCAAGGGAAATCATTAGCTTTGACTCTCAGCACCTAGACAGCTGATGCTCCATTCTCTACCTTATTTTTCTTAAACTTGGCAACGATGCCCAGGTTTCTGACAGCCACCAGTTCCTGGGGGCAGCCAGGTGGTCCGTGCCTTACAGCAAAGTGGGGTAGTGGTGGCAGGTAGTACAAGGAAACCTAGGAAATCAGCTAGTAATGAGGATTTGTTAGAACCTGTGGAAGTCCTCAGGGATTTGTCCCTTCTGCTAGTCTCATAAGCCCTGTGGGATACATTAAAACCCTGAGATTCCCACCACTGCCCCAGGAAAGCTTTGAGAAAGAGTTTCTTTCCATCTTTAATTTGTACAATATGTTTATTTCTCTCACACAGTAAGAGCCAGGCACTGTGCCAGGAACTGAGGGTAGATAATCACCATGTCCCCACCTTAAATGATGCGGTCAGGGCCGTGAGGAAGGGCACTGTAGGATGCCATGGGGACCCCCAGGAGGAGCCACTGACCTAGTGGAGAGGGGCCCGGAAGCCTGGAAGAGGAGATGGTACTCGAAGTCCTGAAAAGTGAGGAGGAATGAGCCAGGCAGGTGAGGAGAAGGGGTGGAGACTCCAGGGACAGGGGAGAGGCTGCACTCGGAGAAGAGCCTCAGGACTGTGTCCCCCTGGTCATCTGCAGCAGTTCAGGATGGCTGGAGGGTGGGGACGACAAAGGGGAGGCTGGAAGGCAGCCAGGGCCCTGGCCAGGTTGGGCCTTGCACACCACCAGGAAAGGTTTGGGTTCCATTCTAATGTGAAGAGCACCCGGCACGTAGAAGGAAGTACTGCTTCAAGGAAACCATGGGCCTGGGACATGCAAAGTCCACAGACAGTCTTGTTAGCTGGTTGGATGTGGGCAGAAAGCCGCAGTGGCCAGTCCAGGAAGGCCTCCCAGGGTGACACTTACAGGTGTTTGGGTGAGGCTGTCAGTCACCAAATAGCAAATCCTGGAGAGGGGGCATCTGGAGTGAAGAGGCGCGCAGGGTAGCCGTGTGCATGCAGATGCCCGTGTGACGCTTGAGTGGACGCGGCCATTTCATGGCAGCTTCAGGGGAGCAGCGGACCAGAGGGTACGGAGTGGGGAGCCACTGGCCTTCGGAGAGCGGGGGGTGGGTGTGATGGCCCAGAAAGGGAACACAGGACAAGGAGAGGAGAGGGAAGAGGACATGGCACTGCCTGCATAGACGTTGTCATTTACTGTTTCAGGATAACATCCGTGACACTCCAACTTAGTCAAGCAAACTCAAAAGAAGCAGCTGTCACCAAGCAGACCTCAGGGCCATCCAAGCCTCTGTGTTCCTTGTTCCCAAAGCAACCTTAACTCTTAATTTTTGTCTGAGACTCAGTAGCTAAGCAGGCACGAGGCACTATGGAACTTGGGGCACCAACTGGAGAAAAGGTGCGAGAGGGGACCGCAACAAGCCTATCTTTCAGCCCCCGACAGCAACTCATAACCCTGTACCCGCAAAGCAGGCACCAGCTGGACCTGTCGTGGACGAAGGAATCTTGGCATCTCCTAAGGGAGAAGCTCAGAGAGGTCAGGGACTTTCTCTGCGCCACACAGCTGACCACGGGCAGAGCCTGGGTTCTGGGTTTAGCCCATGCTTCCCCACCAGTCCTAGGGGAACAATGCACAGCAGCTGTGGCTCTTAGATAAGAGTCATTCAAGTTCAGGACATCTAAAAAGGAAAAAGAAAGAGCCAAGGAGTGGGGACTTTTTATTTGTTCCTGTAGCCTCTGGTTAACCTGTGTTTCCCATCGGAGGCGCTCCTGAGCCAGTGCCCTGCCCCACCACACACACACACACACACACACACACACACACACACACCCAAAGGCCCTGGGGTCACACTCCTGGCCCCTCAGGGGAGTTTTGGCAGGAACAGCAGCAGACAAGCAACGGGGCCTATGCACTGTCACCCTCTCTGGGCTCCTCCTAGGGCAGAGGTGGGGAGGGAGGAAGTAGCCACAGTAAGTGCCTTCCCCAAGCTGTCTGGTTCTTCACTGAAAGCTTCTCTCCTAGTTCCCCAGAGGACGCCACCTCCTGCCCAAACCAAACAATGCTATCAGGTTCCTATTAAACTGCCATCTGTTTCCCCCTTTCCCAGGACAATGCGGCCCAGGAGCAGCCTGTGAGCTAATACCCTGCGTTGTCACAGGTGCTGTGTTTCCTCCCGGCTCTTTGCTGGGGTCTTCTGCTGTGACGTCGTTTCCCCTGCTCTGACCAGTCCCAGTTCTCAGCTGAGGCAGAGAAGTCAAGTGGAACGAGCCGTGAGCCGAGGCCGGGCCCTTCACCTGGCTGTGCTGCTCACCCAGCGAGGTCCTGAGATTCCTAATCCTCCAGCTTTGCTTCCATCCTCCATTGAAGAGACAAAGTAGCAATGGTGATAATTAGCCTGACTTTCTCAACAGAGAGGACCAAATGGGTTCAAATACCCCAGAGGGCCTTTGAAGTGCTCAAGTGCTCTACTAACGGAGACTTCTCAGCATGAAAGATTTAT